CACACACACACACACACACAACAAAAGGTTTCTCTACCTCTTTCTTCCTCTCTAAATGCCCACAAAATCTGACTAAGCATCCCAGAAAAAAGCAAAGTTATAGATACAGATATGGAAGTTGTAAGTTTTTTTTTTTTTTTTTTTTTTTTTTTTTTTTTTGCTGTGCACTTTACTACCTGTGGTCCTTTAAATGTATTAGAAAAACTGATGGGCGACTGACTCAAAACATTATTTTGGCTATAGCCTTTTTTGTTGCTGTTTTTACTTTAAGGTAGTCTAAAGCTAAATTTAAAGACTCAGATGTTCTGTCTTTTATTAATTTTATTTTATATTCTACAGGAAAGTTGTATGTCAAGCCCTAAGCTGCTCAATAACCAAGCTGCTATGTTAATACATGTTGCTTGCAAATAAATACACAGGTGTCAATTCATTATGCATTGTCTTCTCTTAAATGTAATACTTAATGTACATTGTTGTTAAATATAGTTTAATAAGTAATGCTACATGATAAAAAGAAGTCTTCAAAAAGACCCTGTAATCGGTGATCGGTATCGGTATCGGGTGATACAGCTTCCAGTAATCGGTGATCGGTATCGGTATCGGGTGATACAGCTTCCAGTAATCGGTGATCGGTGATCGGCCCCAAAAATCCTGATCGGAGCACCCCTAGATTAAACCTTATTAAAGTTACAAAAGTTATTCAGTCAAGAGAAGTGAGTGATTTCTCTTTATCTTTTGTTGTTTGATCAACGTTAATGAAACAGACTGAAGCAGGAATATTAGGCTGCTGTCACTTTAAGACCGAATGCACTGATCCAATATACTGATACACATGCGTTTTATTTCTCAACTGTTTGTTCATTTAAGATATAACATATTATGTTTACTAGGATTACTAGAAGTATCAAATTTATTTTTGTCTTGGTTATTCACCTGCCCTGTAAAGCGACTTTTAGTTCGAGAAAAGCGCTGTACAAATTCAATTTATTATTATTATTATTATTAGGATATTCGTCGAGACCAGCGTTTTTTGACGTTTATCATGTGAATATGTCCGTTTAAGCACAAGAAGATGTACAGTTTTCTTTTTAAATATGTCTTTTGGCTAATTTTAGACATTAAGCATTGTATTAATAATGAATTATTTATTAAATAAACCAAAAATTCGATATATAATTTCTAACATCAAAGTAAAAAAATGTTTTCCTGTTAACAAACTTATAAGAAGTATCATATTATATATTTATATACATGCATATATCTCTCATTTTTTTTAAGGAATGAAATAAACACTGCATATACATTTTATTTGAGGATTGACCATTGAAATAAAACATCATTATTCTAAGTTTGAAATTGATCTACTCCTCCCTAGTAGGAAGTAGAAGCACTATTGATTCATGCGAGATGCTTGATTAGGGCATTAGTGTCTGAAATGATATCGCTCGCATTCAATGCCACTATTTGGCTTTTGTGATGATCAGAGACTTGTGAAAACTTATATGGAAGTAAATGAAAGGCTAATATAATCTCCAGCTTAATGAACAAAGCCCTCCGCTCGCTGAACTGATCTGCAGTTAAGCTTGGTGAAGCATTTCAAATATGGATAGAGTAACATGAGTTAATCAAACGCTTACAGATCTAGCGTGAGCGGGTTCTTAAGTTCTTTTCCAGCCCGTGTTTGCAGCTCTGAGCTCACAGACTTGAGTGTTAATTATTTACGCTGTCAGAGGTCAAAGTGCATGCTCCTTTGACTTGTGTTGGCTTATTTGGCCGTACCCTTGCTAAGCGGAGATGACCTGTGTTAAAGAATGGCTGCTTTAATTAGACATCAGACATCAGGCTTTGAAAACAGCCCAATATCATCAGCAGACACATGTTCTTAACCAATACTTAGGCACATAATATAGGTCAAAATGCTCACAATTTCACAGATCTGTTTTCTATTTAGAAGTGAATGTCTTTGCAAAAACGTTGCCATTGTTATCTAAACTTTGCTCATTGTTCAGTGTAACACTGCTTTGTATTAATCTTTTTTGCAAGATATATACTTTTAACAACTGAAGAAGTGGTCAAGTGATAATATATTTTTTTATCGGCCTATGCAGATATCATATCTAGAGAGCGGAGTTGCCATACGCCACATAAAACTGTTTATTATCTGTTTTTATGACTGGTGGCAGATTTTGGAACTGGCAAAAGAAGGAAATTTCACTCACTAATATTTGCCCCTGTTTACATCTGGTATTAAGATGCGTTTTGGTCGATCGGATCACAGGTGGACGACACTAAATAAATACAGGTGTAAACACGGTCGAGAATGTTACGAGTTTGACCTCTTCCAGAGGCAGTGGAAAACACACTCCACCGGATTGCTTTCGTAGTGTAGACGCTCATGTGATCGAATGTGTTCAAACAGCCACAAAAGACCGTCTTCTCTTTATTACCATTATGGGAAGACGGGATTTAAACTGTCGACTGAAGACCCAAGTTTGGTTTAAAGAGGAAAAAACATACCAAACACAATGTTCTCTCACCATTCCTGATCTCTAACACACACTCACAGCGTTCGGCTGGTCTTGCGTCTGTCAGAGCAGAAACTAATGCTGATGCTCTCTGTGTGTTTTTCCATCATCTCCGGTCACATTCATATTTAAATTGTGTAAGCTTATTTTTTCCATTAGATTGAAAGATCTGAAAAAGCCCAAACATTTACCCACACATAGACCCTCTCCTCGAAGAAATCAGGACAGAAGTGGACAAGAGACGGATTAAAACACCGAAAAACACACAACATGGCCAAATATTGATTAATGATAATTGAATGAATGATTAATTGTCCTGCCATTCTCTTTCACTAGACTAATGAATAAATGTTGAATTTTAATATTTTGTGTAAAAAGTTAACCATCACACAATCACCAAATCATCATCCATTTTGATGTCCGTGAAGTTTGTAGTGTATAACTTTATGTATCTTTATTAACTGCACTTGTATCTGGATGAATAGCCTAGTAGTACCAACTGGTAAAATGTTCTTCTTTCTAAACTCTTATGCAAGTGTTTCCTTTGTTTTACCATCGCTGAATCGGCAAATGCCACAGTTGCAGAAATTATTTAATAAGTTATGGAATGTTGGTTGTACTTAATTTAACAGTTCATGCATTTACAGTGTACTGAGCCCAGAAAGAACGCAGTAATAAAAGGTAACTACATGGTAGGGCTGTGCAATTAATCGTAATTGATTTTTGATTTTGGCTTCCGTTTATGAAAACATAATCGAGTTAAAGATAATTGAGTTAAACTATTATTTACCGTTGCCACATAAACGGTGCATTCCTCACTGCGCCAAACTTAACATCCAAATCAGTGTTGTAAAATATAGTCTATTGTTGCTAAACTACGGGACATGTTTGTTTGATATTAAACCGTGTTATTAAAAGCGCATTAAGCCGCAAAAGAGACACTGTTCCCCAGGCGGCTTTCTGTGCTTCATAAGCAAAGAATACCGTGGGCTTCGCCTGAACGGTTAAATAGCCTACACACTAAAATATCAAAATGGCGTTTTGGGTAGTATCCTCATAACTACATTAGTTAACCTAGTATTAGTTTTTGCTGAAGTAGCCTATCGATAATTGTGAAATTTTACTGATATTGAAAATTACTCGTATAATGAGATAAGACTTTGATCATATCGCCCACCAATAGTTGTGTTAAATAATCGTGATTTCTTTCAATATTGACCAAAATGATCTTGATTGTTTTTGCCATAATTGAGCAGCCCTACTACATGGACTTAAAGGATTAGTTCACTTTTAAAAAAAACTTTTGCTGATAATTTACTCACCCCCATGTCATCCAAGATGTCCATGTCTTTCTTTCTTCAGTCGAAAAGAAATTAAGGTTTTTGATGAAAACATTCCAGGATTTTTCTCCATATAATGCACTTTGCTGGGCACCAAACGGTTCAAGGTCCAAAAGACAGTTTCAGTGCAAACTGCAAACTGTTCAAATGGCTTTAAACGACACCAGACGATGAATAAGGGTCTTATCAAGCGAAACGATCGGTCATTTAAAAAATAACAAAGTTTAAGTTTAAAAGCTCAAATGCTCGCCTTGCTCTGTTCTGTGTGACTCTCCTGTTCGAACTCGTTCATCAAAATGAACAAATCTTTTTCCGAGTCAATTCGTTCATTTCGTTCGTTAAATGATCCAAATGACTCGAAAAAAGATTTGTTCATTTTGATGAACGAGTTCGAACAGGAGAGTCACGAACGTGCATCACAGAACAGAGCAAGGCGGGCATTTGACATTATTAAACTTAAACTTTGTTATTTATTTTTTAAATGAGCGATCGTTTCGCTTGATAAGACCCTTATTCATCGTCTGGTGTCGTTTAAAGCCCTTTGAACAGTTTGCAGTTTGCACTGAAACTGTCTTTTGGACCTTGAACCGTTTGGTGCCCAGCAAAGTGCATTATATGGAGAAAAATCCTGGAATGTTTTCATCAAAGTCCTTAATTTCTTTTCGACTGAAGAAAGAAAGACATGGACATCTTGGATGACATGGGGGTGAGTAAATTATTAGCAAAAGTTTTTTTAAAAGTGAACTAATCCTTTAACATGGGTTGAGGTTAGGATTATGGTTAGTATCTAGTTATTACTATAATAAGTACTTATACATGCATAACAGAACTGTAAAATAAAGTGCTACTGAAATTTGAATCGAATGCGATGAGATAATAAATGTGTACCTGAAAACAATGACAAGAAAACATTCCTTTCTGTTGAGTTTCTCAAATTAAAATGGAAGAGATTGATTGCATCTGTTGGGGACACTATAACTCTCCTGCTTTTCAAAGTTATTGCTCGCGTTTTGTGTATTTGCTCTCGTGTGGTAAGCCAAGTCCTTATGTAGTGCTGCATATTCATCCATTACCGTTTCATTTTCAGAGTACAATTTCAAGACAGATAATCCCTCTTTGTGTGTCTCTCCTCTAGGGCAAAATGTGGGCGACTGGGAAGTTGACATCAATACGTTGAGGCCACTGTTCTCCTTCTCCCCACACCCTGGCAGTCTGAGAAATCAGACGTTACTGTGACAAACCTGGGCCGCTGGCACTAAAATGTCCCTAAGTGGTGGCACTGCAGGCGGGAAAGGTGTGGACTCGAATGCGGTGGACACTTACGACAGCGGTGATGAGTGGGATATCGGGGTTGGAAATCTGATTATCGACCTTGACGCTGACCTAGAGAAGGACAAACTCGAGATGTCTGGCACCAAGGACGGCGGGGGAATGGCAGCTCCACCTAGCGCAGTAGCGGCTCTGCCAGACAATATCAAGTTCGTTAGCCCAGTTAGTGCCCCTCAGGGCAAAGAGAGCAAATCCAAATCCAAACGCAACAAAAATTCTAAAGACAATAGCAGCAAGTCTCCAGCTGGAGACGGAGCAAAAAAGGAGCATCAGGGACGGACCCAAGGGGAGGTTACTGGTGCGACAGGTAGTTCAGCAGGCGGCAACTCCGCCACGGGCAAGGGTGCCGAGAAGGGCGCCAAGGCCTCACGCGGCGTGCCAAACAGCAAAAAGGAAAAGGAAGTATCGAGTGGGAAAAACAAGAAAGACAAAATCGAAAGCGCACCAGTTGCAGTCGTGGCAATTGAGAAGGAGATAGTTGCGAACGCTCAGGCGTTTGGAAGCACACGCAACACGCCCTTTGACAATACGCAGAACGCAGACATTGCTGTGACAGAGCAACTTGGGAATAACGCTCTGGAAACTGTTGGAATTGTCTCTCCGTTAGCTATTAAAACCGAGCCGGAGGAGCTTGACGGGGAATGCAGAGTTCTGAAGAAGATGAAAAATGAAAAGGTAAGCGCGGATGGCCCGCTTGTGTATTTGAGCCGTTTAGCAGCTGCTGCAAATTGTGTTATTGATGTATTGAGAACTTGAGTCAATATTAACAACCTAATCCACCTGAATGCAAGTGAGTGTTTCCTCCTGTTTTTGGCATTGTGTGTGCTTTAGGATAGACTTTTTTGCAACTTTTTTGAACAGAAAGTAGAGAGAGGACCAGATTTGAACTTTCATTACCCAAATTAGGTAATCATGGTGTTTCAACCGTTAGGTCGTGGAAAGAAAATGCTCTGGGATTTAAAATGCTGCTCACAGTGTGTATAAAAACGTATTCAAGCAATATTTACAGTATTATGCTAACATTGTTACATTACAAATTTGTTTGGCTTGTTTCCTCCCCTGTTGTTCCGGTCATTGAATAGAGGGAAGTTTAGGACTGGTTTGGCTGTTAATCCCAGGAGGCAAAGATGTGTTTGGGGGGGAGGGGAGGAAAATAAAGCTCAGACCCCTTGAACCCACGGGCTTTAACTTGCTGTGGGGGAAGGGTTGGAAGAAGGTCATTTATCTACATGTATACAAGCTTTTAATCTGAACAGAACTGCTTCTGGGGATCATTAAAATTAGGAAGGAAATTCCAATTAAAGCTTCAAATCCAGTTTCAGATCTTAAGCTGATAAGTGATGACAGTGTTTGTTTGTAACTTTTACATTGGCCTTTTATTGTGGCTTCCACTGTGTTAAAAACGTAATTATGTAACGTTTTCCAAGAACATGCCGTTCGACTAAAAGAACAAATGCGGATTGTCATATTCATTACTGGATTATGTTTGCTACTGTTGTGCTTTGTTGTGTAGATTTGCCAACATTGAAATTCCAGTCACCATAAAGAGCCTACCATGTGTCTTCTGGAGATGGTTTTAAAGCCCATTTTAAGGGCACTCCCTAAGCTTTTTTGTCTTTTCAGTAGCATGGCAAAATAAATCTGTGGTAGATTAGGTAGGTAACCATAATTTCAGATATTGATGACCCAAATGTTGTAAATCAAAGCCAAATCCTGTACTCTCCCAGATTTCCATAGTGCGCAATCTTCTTGGAAACATCAGTACAAAAGAGATGTTTGCTTCCCCGTGACTTGATTCTCGGGTCAAGTAGATATTATGCAATTAAAAGATTCCAAACTTGAAGTAAGAATGCACTGATTTGTGCAAAAAATTGGTCCATTTTGCAGTTTGTTGTGACAGTTAATTGCGCATGCATTGGTATTTAATGTAAATTCCTGTTGGACAATTTCTCCAAGAAGAGATGCATTTAGTCTATACGTTCAATATAATTAATAAACTATTGACTGATTAATAGATAATCTGCTTTTCCCCTCCTTTGTTTTTTTTTCGTCTGCAAAATCCAACTGGTTGACCTCTAAATTGTAGTATTGGTGATAGTTTTGGATGGTGCAACACTGTTTTTTTTTATAGCGTTTCAAATTATTTTAGTTTATGATGCAGCATGCGAGAAGGAATTCAGTCAAATACAAGGTGGCAATTAGAGCAATGGCAGATTTGGGAAACAAAGCCTTTCCGTGGTGCGTTTCCCTCAGCTTTGTACATGGCGACTGTGAGTATGTCTGGATGGGTGTTGAAGCCAGCAGAGGGTGGGGGAAGGGCGCGCGCGAGCGAGCTAGCACTGCTAATTCAGCTCATGAAAGGCTTGAGCAGTGAGAGCAGCTGTCCTCCATTGTCAGCCAGCAAATTTCCAGCATGCCTCATTTCACCTCTCAATGTGAGCAGAGAGAAAGCTAGAGGGCAGAACAGAGGGGGATAAACAAACAGAGACCGATAAATGAGAGAAGGAATGAATAAATGAGAGAGAACTGTTGAATGCCTCAAGTTGCCGCAGTGCTTCCAAACGGAGGTTGGAGAGATCATGTGTTAAATGCCAGCGATGGAGTCTGGGTGTAGGCGTTGGAAGGTGCTCTGCTCGAATCTGCCGAAGGAAAAAAAAGGGCCAGAGGAAAGAGAAGGGGCTAAATGAAAGAGGGGGAGAGGGGTTGCTTTGTAAGTGGATGAAGTATTTAACTTCCTACACACTAAGGAGCTTGTCAGCACTCCCAGTTCCACTGAGGCGAAAGAGGACTGGTGAAGAAATCAGGATTTTGTCACAATTCACTTAATTGCACTACTGAAAATACAAAGTATTAATTGGGTCACACTTCCCCTATGATAAGCAATGTTTTTTTTTCCCCCTCAATGTTTTGGTGCTTGTAAATATAATTAATTTGAAGGGTTAGTTCACTCAAAAATGTCTTCTGAAGAAACACAATCACTTTATATTATGTACAGATTCAATTTAGGCTTTTTTCAGAAACAATTGATCAATGCACATTTCTGGATAAAGTACAAAAAAATTTTTTTTTAAATAGAGATCACAATTTCCACGCAATTCTGAGAAAATATTCTGGAAGTTCTGACAATTTTAATTGCTGCAGTCTAGTAATTAATTTTTTTTTTTAAATCGGGTTGAGTGAATAATTCAATGACTCACTCACAAACACTTGTTTCATTACTGGATGAATCAGGTTTTCTGAACGATTCTCTTGAATGAATGATTCAATGACAAATACATTTTTCATAAACACTTGTCGCCACCTACTGGTGTAATGATACAATCTTTATTTGAAGCTGTCATCTAGGAATAAGATCACGTGTGTAATTGTGCAACTCTAATGCCCGATGGTAAATGAAAGCTCAAGGTTTTTGTTACATGGACTTTTAATAATGAGACCATTGTTCTTAATTATTGTTAAGAAATAAAAATATATATTTTTGGGCGAACTAACCCTTTAAGATATGTACTGTATGAAATTTGTATATAACAATAGTTTTTGAGATCTGATATATTACAGGAAAGAAGAAATAGCATAGTTTTATAGTAAAATTAACTCTCAACTCTTCTTTAGCCATTTTCTAACACCATGGCTTTTAGTGCTAGAGTAGATGATGGCAGAAGCAATCAAACATTTTAAAAATTGGTGGAAATGAGCATCCACATGTATTAATTACAGATAAAGGAATAAATACAGAACACAAATATCAGCCAATAACCAATATGGTTCCAATATATTTTTCATCCTTCTTAAAACTGTTGCAGCTTCAGCCTCGCATTCGTCACAGTTCAAAGCATTGAAAGAGAAATGCTGCAACCAGTTCCAATTGGACCATCATGAATCTCTTTATAATGGCAGTTCTTTCATTTTGACACGCACAATACTTTAAGCCCTTGGGGCTGCTGTGAAAAGTGGAACATTATTGTTTGATCAAGAAAATCACAAGATCTCATTCATACTACTTTCTCGCACTGCAGAATGTATAAAGAGCTGCCATTCAAGGATGCTTAGTTAGTCTTCTGGTGTGTTTAACATCTTTGTGCTCTGGCATTGTGTCGAGTTTCTCTTGCTCTAATGAGGTTAGTGTCACTGGAAAGATCCTTTTAAGAAGATTAGAGGGAATTGTTAAAGATTTCAGCGACAGAATGATTTGGGATTTCTTTGTGTAGGAGACAATCCAGGCAGCATCTAGCTCTGCTTTAGTTCACAATTTACAAAGCTATGTGTATTGGCATTGAATGCTGCATGAAAATCTCGCGTCTCAGAAACTTCAGGGTGATCTTCATATCGTAATAATGGTGTAGTTTTGGATAATTAGAGCTGCACAATTAATCGTTACAAGATGCCATCTTGATTCAAACACCCACATGATCTTATTCCTAAATGACAGCGATTGAACTAATAAACCTTTGACAAGTGCGAACTTTCAGATCTGCGTTCTGGTCATGTAGATTTGAAACCGCTTCACAAACAATACAGTATCATTAATTTTTTGTCTTACAATAATTTTAGTTTTAACAGAAAAACTGAGATATAAGTTTATTGTTCGAATATAAACACTGATGTCTACGGTAGCGATCAAAATAGAGAAAATAACATTTTGAAAGTAACTTGACAAATAAAGATTGTATTAATTACAACGTTACACCAGTAGGTGGCGACACGTAATTTATTTGTCATTGAATCGTTTATTCAAGTGATTCGTTCAAAAACACCGATTCATAATGTAAGTAGTGAAGTCTTTATGAGCGTGTCATTGAATCATTCACTCAACCCGTTTAAAAAAATATTAATTCAAATGAATTAAATACTTCAGCAATTAACATTTTGTCAGAAGCTCTGTGGTTTAGTTGTCTATTCAGAATTGTGGGAGAATCCTGATCTGTCTTTTAAACAAAAAAATCCTCATTTTATCCAGCTCTAATTACAACTATATGACCATAAGTATATTTCTAGGAACTTTTGTTGGTTGTCTTTTCTTTATTGTGGAGTCTCTTATCATTCACTGGCCCTACTACATATCAACTAACTAAATTAAAGACCAATATCATTTTTTTTAAACGCTTGCTTTCATCTTCAAAGATTTGCTAGCTGTTCATCTGTTTAAAAAGAAAAGCTTTTATTTATTTTGTTAAAATGCTTTCCCTCTCTCACGTTCATCTGCTGTTTGTTTCACTCTCACACCTCTCGTCACGGGAGCGCCTGAATGAACACTCGCTTGTGTTTTTCACAGTCAGTCTCAGTTACTCATTACATCATGTAATGCTATGGATGTTTTATGTCGAGAAGACGTGCTGTGCAATATGTTTTGCTGCTTCAGGAGAGCAAAGTGCACATGTGAGATGAAAGGCTCATGCATCCATACTCCCATGTTTCCATAATCAATGTCAGCCATGACCTGAGCTCAGGAACCGTGACCCGCCACCCGTTCCTCTCCTGTGAGCATAGACCGTATTACTGTGAGCACCTAAACAAAAAGATTGTATACTTATAATTAATAGCTATTGAGTTGGGTTTTACAATATAGCTTTAAGTAAGTATAGATTTTTTTGAAATGATTAAAAATAAATAAATTCCAGACCCATATAACTTTCCAGATTAAGTTAGTTATTTAGCAGAATGTTCTGGCTGCTCTT